TCACCACAATCGATTTTTCCACTTAAACATTTTAAGGAAAAAGTATTCTTTTTTCGGAAAAAGGTCAAATCTTTGTAGGAAAAAAGTCAAATCTTTTTAGGAAAAAAGTCATTTTTTTAAGTAAAAAAAAATAAATTTTTTAAGGAAAAAAGTCCATTTTCTTTTTAGGAATAAGTCAAATTTGTGAGGGGAAAAGTCAGATTTTATGGAAAAAAGTCAGATTTGTTGGAAAAAAAGTTACATTTTTTGGGAAAAATACTATATTTTGGGGGAAAAATACTATATTTTTTGGGTGGAAAGGTCACATTTTTTAGGATAAAGTCTTATTTTTTGGGAAAAAGTCCCTTTTTTAAGGAAAATGTCTCTCTCTCTCTCTCTATATATATATATATATATATACATATTGTTTACTCTTTTATTCTGAGGGAGGATATAATTAGCTCAGTGCCACAAAGTTAACCTTCTGGATACCACAACTTCCACTGGGACATGCAGACTCTGAACAAGCAACATTGAGTGTAAATTATTTCAAATTTTAGCTTTTGTCTCTGAAAAAGTAGATTTCTGTATCTGCTATGTTGTTATAAATCCACCTGGTCGCCTGTAGACAAATGTGAAAAAACAGGTGAATTCTTTTCCACATTCAGTTCTTCTTGGCAGTTTCCTGTTAGACAGTAGTTTGATGCAACAGCTCACACACACTAGTAATCTATTCATTGTTTTCATTCTATATTTGCTGACTAACAGTGGTTGTTATTATTATTATTTTATTTTTACAAATTACTGGATATTTTTCCTTCTTTTGGACTCTAAAAGTTTTTTTTTTTGTTTAAAACAAGAAAACATATAATCAGGGTTCCCACTCTTTTTCAGAAATGCTTTTCCAGGACCTTTCCAGGACCTTTTCCAGGAGTGTGACAGCTTGATAGCACAAACTGTGATCATTGTTTAGGGGGCTGTTCTCACCACTGATTTTTCCACTTTCCGAATTGACTTCAGTTTCCCTGAAACTGTAACATGGATGGCCGCAGCAGAAGCTAAAAATACAATTAACATTTTCCAGGTCATTTTAATCAATTTCCAGGTGTTTTTTTTCACCAGGGGCCGGAAAGACATTTCCTGATTTTAAGGGGCCACAAGCCAAAAAGGTTAGGAACCTAGAGAACGCAGAGTTTGTAGCATTTTGTATATTGATCCTTAGAAACCTTCTGTTTTGATCTTTATTGTACCTGCTAAACATCAGCATGTTAGCGTGTTAGCATGTAGTTAAAAACAACCAGTACAGACAACCAGAGCTGTAGACTCTTGTTTCCTTTGAATAATAAAAGTATGAAAGCTTATGCTGCAGATCCTGGATCAAAGCCTCTGAAAAACATCTGCATATTTATTCTCTTATTCTGACATCCAGTTCAGTTCACTGGTTGCTGGCTCTGTGTTTGTGGAAGATACATTTTTTTAACGAAAAATCATCTTTTTCTGGGAGAAAGTTTACCTCTAATCTTTTCAGGGCTGTCAGAAAGCAGCAGCTCCACTTTTCCATCTTCTGGGAACCGAGGATCTGGAATATTAACAAACAAAATCAGACATCTGGACAGTTAACTTGGCCCATTGGACACTTTTCCATGTGTACTTCACACCTGTGCTCCAGCACAGCTGATAAAGTGTCCAAGGTCAGTTCAGGTAGGTGATATTTACATTGGGGAGGAGGAGGAGGAGGAGGGCAGTGAAGGATTTATTGGTTACAGATTAAGATTGATACCGTGGCAGAGTGGTGGTATCTGAAACAGCAGTTGGCAGTGAAAGCAGCAGCTCATAAATACCTTTGCTGGCACAGTCGAGGTCCGCCTTAAAGAAAGTGAGGGCGTGTCCGTGAATGAGGCCAGTGTGAAACTGGAGGCAGAAGACGACCTGACGGCTGTCCGACCGGCTGTTTTTATCATAACAAACCACCTAAAATCAGAAAGACAATGATGCTCAATGATGTCTGTTACATTCAGTCTATAAAGTCTATAACTTTACTGATTTTAGATCAATTTTGAGTTTCCAAACATGATTTTGATGAGATGTGTTGACATAAATAACATGGAAAAACTAGTTGGAACAAGTTAAATTTCCATGACTTAAAAACAACTTAAAAACTTGTTTATGCTACTAATTATTATATTAATTTTAAGTGGTTATTAAAAATACCTTTTTAATGTAGAGGAAACATAAACATTAATTAATGAAGTTCCCAAAAGTGCATCAGTATATTAAAGCAAATTACTAAGTGAAGATGAAGATTTGAAGATTATATTTAATTTTATATTTAGAATGTATTTGTATTATTATTGATTTATATACACAATATTTAGATTTTTTTTAAATATATTTTGTGGTTTATATTGTTATTTGTATTTTATATAACTTTTCAACATATAAGACATTAAAAAATAACAAAACAAATTGTAACGCTTTATTTTACTGGTCCACTTCTGAGTTATTTCGTGAATTATTTCCAAATATATTCTGGAAAGAATTATTAAATTTGGTGTTAAATATGAGAAAAAATGACATTTTTGCATATCAGGTCATTCAAAAGTGTGAAATTTGTCTATAAGCAAGCTTTTACTTCAATATATATGGAGAATAATTTCCAATAATACATCGATAAATACATTATATTTACTGTATTTTACCTGGAGTTCTTATTTTTCTTACTTTACTACCAAATTATATAGGAAAAATGGAATAGATCCGTAAAATAAAGCATTACCCATATAAATATGGCAAAAAATTAAAAAGAACAAAGGAGAAGAAACAGAGGATAAAAAATGTATTTTGTTAGTAAAATAATTTATGTATTCATAAAAAGGCAAGTAAATGGGGTTAGTGCAAGGTTAGTGTCTAATGGCTCCCTACAGGATAAATAAATATAAATAAATTAATAAATAATGTGTCACATTCTGCAGTAGTAAACCTCATAAAATGTACTTTCCCACTCACCATGATGTCCCCCTTGAGCAGCTGAGCCGGCTGCAGCACGAAGTAGAGCTGGTCTGTCTGGGCTGCATTAACATGGCTGAGACGGATATAAACACACATTAACGGCTGTATTTTATTCTGAAAACTTCACACCATGTTTAGATTTTATTATGCGACTTTCTCTGATGAAATTTCTTACTAGACGGCCGATGTGCACACAGCTTGTAGACTCTGGTAGACTCTTAGGAAGAGACAACATCCTGGGAAGAAGACAGTATTAAGTTAATTAATTAATTAAGAAATGTTCAGAATGGTTTAAGATGTAAAAACATTTTTCCTGTTCCAGCCCTGACATATCTTATAATTTATTTTATATCTGACATTGTGGCCACGATTTTATTAGACCCAGGTCCAGTGGTGGAGTGGTGATATATTGAACTTATTAGTTAAAAGTTAAAGCTATTCATTCAATTTTTACTTATTTTAGAGTAAAATCAAAGTAAGTTTTATTTAGATTTCAAAAGAACTCACAGATGATCTGTTTCTTTATGTAGGTCATATAAAGGCATCAGTATTAAAGGTCCCATATGTACGATTATGAAGCATATTATATGTTATTTTATTTTATTAATCACTATTTATTGCGAATGTGTAAATCTCTCCGCTTCCCTACAGCGTGCAACACAAGCTAACGTTCGATCATAAATGTCCTAAAAGTCAAAGCTAACATTACTACAAAACTAGTGGAATATATTGTGTTATTGTGGTTTTATTGCTAAGCAAATTGCTTACTAGCTTCATCTAACAAAAAAAAGCTGATCTGGTCGTAGATAACGTTATCAAGCGTGGCTAGGTTGCAGCCGGCTGGCTAACCTTAGCTTCTTGTCGTTATAGTAATATTATCTGAGTGGATACGTTATATAAGTTATAACAACTTATATATTATGAGGAACGGTGTTGATTTTAGCCAACAATAAATTATGTAGTGGTACAAAGCTGATTTCAAGTATTGATCTGGTAAACACCCGAAAACAGTATTCATACGTGACTTTTAGACTAGAAATATAAGCATCTTCTTCCTTTAATAAAATGAACAGGATAAAAGACAGCAGGCTTCCTTCCTACCTCCATCTGGTCTCATTTTGGGAATACCGTGGAGAACAACACAGAGGAGGAAGGACGGAGACGGACACATCCTCAGTCCTCCCTTTAACATGCTGCCCAGCATCCACACATACCTGCAAAGCACAGAGAAAGGTATTAATATCACTTTATAAAAGGGACATATACAATACTGTAGCTTTATTATGGTACTGAGAAGTGAACCGGAGTTGATCTTTTGACCCGCAGTGATTCTGCTCAGTCCACATTGGTCTTACCGTTTTTGCGAGGGCGTCATCAGAGCAGAGAGCTTGTCATTGTAGAACCTCCTCATGGCGAAGTGGTCGAGAGAAAGGTCTGCACTGAGAGAGAGGCAGATATTCAGGTGATGATGCCTGAAGCTCCCACGATGTAAACTTTCCCAGCCTCACACTCTTTCTGACAAATCATTTTCCAGGACTTTTTCCAAGACTTTTTTCCTTGACAATATAGGACAGCACTTGCTCACAAACGGTCATAAAAGCTGCAGTTTTGGGGCGAGTGTGCACATTAATTTGGCCACAAGCTCATAAGAAACAGTCCAAAATCAAGTAGAAGTTTATATATTTGTTTTACAGTGATCACTGTGCATGTATTGATCAATCACAGCAACTAGAAAGCTCTTGCTGTATGTAGATTTGAGACCTTCGCTTGCAGTTCGGGAAAAAAATAGACTTGATAAGATGGCTGCAAGTCTTCTTCGCATCTGGTATATCTGAGTGAAGCAGGACCAGGAGAACATACTGTTATTATTTCCAGAATATTTGGTGATTTTATTAAATTTCCAGGTGCTTTATGACTAAAAAACTACATTTTCTAGCTTTTCCAGGTTTTCCAGGACACGTGGGAAACACTGAGAAAGCTCCAGAACAGCTACTACTATAAACGGACCCGTGGTAATTCATCTCCGTTATATTTGAGTTGCAGCAGAAATCTCTGAAGCAAAAACTGCTCAAATAAAACTGAAACTATCTGCGTGATGAGATACGACTGAAGGTATATCAGTAAATAGGGTTTTCTTTTGTAATCTGGGTGAATTCACACACCTTTGCATACCTGGACTCGCTCACACAAGCACACAGATCATTCCCAGAGAGGAGGGACAATGGTCACAATCAGATATTTCTCAACACTCAGTCAGCTGTTCGGACATGAACGACATGCACACACACACGTGCACACTGCACACCAACAGTGCAGAAACCAACCTGATCTTCCTCTTTTCACCATTTTCACTGGCCTCAAACTGACCTTTCCCATCATCTCCCATTGTTAGACTGTGTGGCCACATAAACCACAAACTCTGCTTTAAAAAAAGGCTTTTGGCTGAATTTAACACTGTTTTTGTGTCTTTTAGACTCAGACTCTGGCGTGCAGGTAAATTAAGAGTAGATAAATTCACTTGTGTCCAACAGCAACAGGATCCCGGCCCTGAAAATCAAACAACAGTCTAGTTCAAAGTCTCTTCAATCAGCCGCCCTTTGACTGCTGGAGACGTACAGTAGATCAGCCTCTGTTCACTCTGTCTATTGTTCTGTCAGCGCTCTTTGATCTGCAAACACTTCCAGTTAATGTCAATACTGCGTCTGATTCTTACAGTTCCCACATAGGAATGATTATGTGTGCATGAAGAGAAAAAGTTATTAATTAATTTAATGAATCAAAGTGTGTTTATTATATGGAAAAGTTCAGATTTCTGATGTTATTAATGTAAGAGTGGAAAGTTTGGCCCTGCTGCTGCTTCACTAGATGAAAGGTCAGTGTGAAGTCACCAAAATCATTATGATTCATCCTCTGGGAGCCATAAATATCTGTGCCAAATTGCAGTGTGGTCAGATGAGTCAGTGTACATTAAATAAGCTGATTGATGCTGACATGTTAATGCTATGCCTAAAATCTGTACAAGTGTAAAAGAAAACACTTTTAGTTTCTTTTACACCTTATAGGCATTGATTGGCTTCATACTTTCATATTTTATGTGTCCCTATATCAGACGTTCTACATTTTATCCACGTTAAATGCCTCTATTTTACTTGATCTGCTTTATTTTCTTATATTTGTAGCCACACTAACGGCATTGATAAGGCGCCATTTTCTAATTTACAATGAAAATAAATTGATTTACTCTGGGATTTTGTTTGTTTTCTTCATACAAACTAATAAATGTATAATATATATACAGTCACATCTTAAGTTAGCTAATGTTAGCAAAAGACTAGAGAACCAGCTCACTAATCTACATTAATCACATCTGATGGCTAATATTAGACGCTAGCTAACTTAATATGTAACTATATAAGCTTTTACCCATCTTCAAACTTTGGTTGTCTTTTCAAAAATAGATTAGTGTAGCATGTAACATGTCTATATACAGGATATTAGAAAGTTAACCGAGGTTCCGAAAGTGATGGCGACTTATAGAAATGGTCAGTTAGTGCAGGTTGAAGTACAGCGTTCCCGCCTCATTTTATCTGATAAATATTATTTATATTTGGTAGTTAACTGGCTCTGAGCCCCCTTTTATTTTTACAAAGTGCTCTATGGGATGGTAATTGGTAATCTATTAGTTTGATGAACACTGTAATATTTTGATAAATACCACATGGATTTACGCCAAATTTGTTTCAGACATTCGCGGCTCCTGCAGCATGAACTGTAATAACTTTTCATCTAACGCCATCATCAGATCAGATTTTAATTCGTCCAATACTTCAGCTGTACTTTGCGATTACTGCTAATTACCAAATGTTATTCATAGCTGAATGCTAAACATCAGCATGTTAGCATTCAGCTAAAAGCTCTTTCCTGTCCACCACCCCTGTGTACTACTTGAAACAAACTCACATGGCTGGCATGATGACAGTGATTTACATCAGTGTTACCTGGCGGACATGTTGCTGAAGTGGATGTAAGAAGCCACCAGAACCCCCAGCCGGCCTTTACCTCCCTGTGGAGGACAGCTGCAGAGTCAGGATACATAAATGTACAGATCAATTTAAAGATGTCAGTGTGTACAGAGGAACATTGTTTACCCGGCAGTGTAGCACCAGGACATGCTTCGGATGCGTCTGCAGCCAGTTCTCCATCGTTGTGCACACGTTGAAGATCTGATCCAGGTTGGGAGCCAAGAGATCCACCCAACCCGTGTCCAAAACCTGACAGGCAAACCACAGAATACTGTAACAGACAACACACTGCGATATTTAACCTCTCAGATGGGCCGTCGTTACCTTGTGGTTCATTTGGGTGAGAGTGTCATTCTTCTGTGAGAGGTTGATGAGCTGAAGGAGAAAGGATTGTTGTTATACAACTGGTTTGGGAAGTGATAATACACACAAAACTACCATATTATGTCAAAGCAAAAAATCTGAAGTATTGTAATACTGTATAACATTAAGAATTTCTTAAATCCGTTCATACGTTATTATTTTGTGGCAATGTGGGGAAATACTCTGCATATAAATCTGATTTTCATACTTCAAAACATAGCACATAAGTATTGTAAATAAAGCTAGAGATTAAAACCAACACATTTAATAAATTCAATTTGGAATTTGTCAAGATTTTCAAAATAAATGTCTCCTGGAGAGAGGATTTTTGTGGAGTTTATCTCAATGGAATGGGGTCTATGGGTACCCACAACTCTCCTCTTTGCAGACACTTTATGCTAATCCCATGCAGTTTTTAGCATGTGGTATAAATGTGTTTTATATGAGTGATTCTGACACAGAATGACTAATTCTGTTACTTTAAGCAGTATTTCTACTTTTACTTCTTCCACCACCGTCTCACCATGTAGCTGTGTCCATGCTTGGACTGCAGCATGTGAATAATCTCCTGCAGGTTCTGGAGGTAGATCTCCTCCGGACTCCGGGGGGGGCAGAATATGGTGATGATGCGTTCAGTGATGTAGGTCAGATCGATTCGCTGCGGCTCCTCCATGGCTGGGTTCCTGTCACATGGGCGCCCTGCGCAGGAAGTGAAATGCCGGCTGTGAGAATGAAAGTCATGGAAATTTTTAAAGGGAAGTGAGAAAATTCTCACTGCGGGTCAGCAGATGTTTGCAGAGCATTTATCTGAGCTTGTGTTGTATCAGCTGGAACTCCCAGCCAGGCAAATATTTTGGGCCCACACAGATATGCGAGTTCAAGCCCGGTCAGCCTTATTAATCCTCAAATCCTTTCTACAGGATGTGATGTTAAAACAAAGTGGGGTCAGGGCCAACAAAAAAAAATTAGGAACTGAACCAAAAAGCTGAGTCACTGAAGCCCCTCACTGAACCTGTGACTGGAGGGGAGGTTACGATGAGTCACAAGAATGACTCTTTCCAAAAACACCAGATTGTAACCTCATTACTCACCCGCAAAAAAACCACTGAAGAGAGTCTGACCAGGACAGAACATTGTGACCTTAGATCTGACTGCTTATTGCATTAATGGTCCTATAATTAGAAAGAAGGAAATGTTCATTCTTCTATAAAGCAGAAACATATCTAGTGTCAAGGACCCCCGAACTGATATACATCAGACTCGTATTATTTATTTTATATTTAATGAGCAGACTCAGTCTTCTCATACAGCTCTCTGTAAAGTTCGTAGCTAGTTGGTGCATATTTCTAGCACGTAGTGATGTGTTGTTTTTCGGCTCCGTTGGGAGTCTCAGAGCTGATTTCTTAATACAAGACAAAATAAAAGGATAATCCCATAACATATTATACAATCCTTTGGTAAAAACATTAAGACCCAAGCATGGTGAAGTGGTTGGATATTGCGCCTTTCACATACAAAACATATATATATCAATAAATCAAATATTCAATACACATGTAATAGCATTTGATGTTTTTTGTACGAAGCATAATGTGAATTTATGGAATTACTGAAATTATACTTTTTCGAATTAAAACATACATAATCTTAATTTTTTTAATTAAATTATTTATGTGCACACATTTCAATCATAGGTCAAATGGGTCGTCTCTTATTGTTGAGCTGAGCCAAATGATCTGGCTCACAAAAAAAGAGCCCGGGGGAAAAGAATTCCCGTCAAGCACGATGCTCCTAACTGTGTTTCCTTCCACCAGCTGACACAATGATGACAGTGATTCAATTCAGAGCTCAGACACTGACACAGAGATAACTCTAGAGGAGAGGGGGAGGTAAAAAAAAACTAATTTGCAAGCATTAAAGAAGCCAGAAGAAGAGCAGAGGGAGGGACGATGTCACACAAATATCTCTGAAACTTTGGAAAAGCCTCACCAGTTCCATCAGATGTGCTGAATCTGTGGTTTCTTTTTTAAGAAATGAAAACTCGCTTTATAGGTTTTATAAATGCTCTCTCTTTGCCTTCATTTACTGTGTATTGTACATATGTGTGTATAGATATATGCGTACATTGTGTATGTTAACTTGTATTTTATATGCGTACAATATTTGTTTTATCCAATATGTGAAGCACTTTGTAACCGTGTGTTTAAATAAAGTGCTACAGAAGTAAATTATTATTATTATTATTATTATTATTATTATTATTATTATTATTATTATTATTATTATTTCTGGAACTTTTTAA